TATATATATATATATAGAAATACATTTAGTATTTACTATTTTATCTGTCAAAAGATTTATAATTCCTTACAGCTAGTTTACACACTTCTGCCACAATTTACACACCTCTGCCACAGTCGGGAATTAGAGATGAGCCCCAGTTCACCCGAGTTTGCCCAAGCCGGTTCAGAACTGTGACCGCCACTCCCTACTCCTGGCCCAATCAGTGGTGGCAGTTGGGGCAGGGGCAATCCCCACCCCTTCGTGATGTATCGCTGCAGAGCAGGGAATGCGCCTCTCCACAACTGGCTGGGACAGAAAGGGGGGGGGGGTCACAGTTTTGAGCCGGCTTGGGCGAACTCAAGTGAACTGCATTTGCACTAAGCCCAAACTCCGCACTAGTCAGGAAGATCACTCCAATGTGTCTTGGTTCAGCTTTGCTGTTTCCAAATGACATCCTTGCTAATTGGACAGATGTTGGTTTGTTGATTCATAGGCCAATAAAACCCAGTGAGATGTAACATAATAAGCAGAACTGTGTTGCAGATGTGTGTTAATTGAAAGGCTGTCTGTACAGAACACTATTTAGCATGCAAACATATAAGAGTTTACTTGGATTTCTGCTATAACAAAGGGACATTTAGGTAGGATATCATGATACTTTCATTTTAAAATAAAATACACTTGTACACCTTTAGCCAAACAAGCATGGTGTATTCTTTAAAGCGATATTTAAGTCAAAAGATTTTTAAGCTATTTCACAAGCGGTGATTAAATCACTTCCAATGGATGCTACTTCTTGATGTGTAAAAGTTTTATTTTCCTGCAGAATCAGCTGATTCCCTGAGAACTGGCCCTGATATCCTGTTTTAGGCCTCATTCACACTGCCGTATAATACGCTGCGCATAGATGCGCACAGCTAGGGTTGCCACTTTTTCTTCAAGCCAAACCTGAACACTTTAGCGACGCGCTGACTTTTTTTTGGGAGAGTGAGCCATGGCATGTTCATATATAAATAGCGCCACCCTTTCATATGTAAATATTACAGTTGAGACTATTTACAAGGGGGGGCAGTAGCCCCTTTTTTAATTTTGGTTGCCCCTGTCTGCCCCTCTCTGCCTGACATCTTGCTGCCATGAAACCTGGACACAGCATTCAAAACCTGGGCTGCCTGGGTGAATCCTGGACAGGTGGCAACCCTACACACAGCGTTTTTTCCTATATGGAAATAAATGGCTCCATACACATAGCTGCGTATGGAGCCGTATTTTTGCGCTGCGTAAAGATGTGCAAAAAAAAAAGGTTAAAAAAGGGAAAGGTTAGAACCCCTGTCAGGTTTTCTGCTATCCAGGGCTCCATTAGAGACATTTCCCTTCACTTTCTGTTTTGGGGACAAAGTTTTAATAGCAAGAAAGTGAGGATAAATCTGTACAAGGGAAACAGACAACAATACAAAGCTGACAGAGGTTCTAGCATTCCCCGACTTAAAGTATGCATTTTTGCTTTTGTCTGTGTTGCTGTTAGAGAGATTTCCTCTCACTTCCTGTCCTGATGACAACCTTTTTTTTTTTACCAGACAGGAAGTGAAGGAGCCTTATGCCACCCTAAGAAAACTTATGTAACTCTAATAAAATTCTGACTTGTATTAATATTCATTTACTGTCCAACTGTACTAACTGTGGAACTGCTTGGGCCAGATGGTTGGATCAACACTTCCATTGGCATAAATGGAATGCTAGTGTTTGAGAGACAAATGTTTCCCCGCTCCCACACTACATTGTACCCCAATACATTTCTGACTTACCTATTCTCTGAGAGCCCCAGAAGTAACCCTCCATCAAGTATCCGGTATTCATGCTTTGGACATGGAATAATGAAAAGACCTGTCTTTTTACTGACGTATTTCTTCTTTAGTAGGTCATATGTCAAAAGAGTCTGTGGAGATAAAAATATGTCTTTTATAAACTCACATAGCAAAGATTATTGTAGAAAACAAAAAGGGCTTATTTAAGATAATATGATTAAATGATGTCATTTTAAAATAAAAGTATATATAAGGGCCATTTATCAAATGTATGCCAGTGTTGAGCCTGCAAAGCACAAAACTGACATAACATCCAAAGAGGGAAAATCCTTATTTAAATACTTCTTTTCTTTATTTTCTTTCTAAAGAGTTCACATGACTGCTGTGACCCTGTTTTTCTAAGTAGCAACTTAGGGCCTGGAGTTTTGGGCGCTACCAGGTCACTTTCCTTTACAGACCCAGCAGTGTCAGTACCTCCTACAGGATGACAATGCTTGCACTTTTTAGAAAGCGTTAAACAGAGCCATGAAGGATTGCATTTACTGTACCTGTAGCACTGCAGGCAGTGGGTGACAATACTGCTGGGATTTCAGCAGCTTTCTAAATGTGTTTTCAGCCCTCTCCTGGAAATGAGTATATTCAGTGAACACTGGCAGGATTAACATGCAGAAAGGGCAAGATTTCCCAGACTCCTTGGGGTAAATTAGGCCTGCCACATACTTACTACAATCTGCTTCAAATTTGGGAATTTGTGACTCCTAACAAGCCATGTTACATAAAGTGGACCTGAACTCCAAAAAAGTACAAATTTGCTATGTTATAGGGAACATTTAGAAAGCGACTTGTGCCTAAACAGTACCCTAAAATGTTACATTTTGTCTTGCATTCCTCCTGAAAAATAGCAGCGCACTTCCTGCTACGGAAGGATGCCTAGGCGCTCCCGTACCTATAGCCTCATAGCTGTACATCTGCAAGGTGAGATCTAAGGCACTGCTGCCTCTGTCTGCTAGTCTCAGAAGATTTGGTGATGTCACTACTGTGCCGCTCACTGTTCTCCTTGCTGGAGGCTCTGACATGAGGAAGCAAAGATCTGCATCTACCAAGATAGCCACCTCCACACACAGTACAGAACAAGGCATGCTTGGTCATTAAAGGAGGAAAGATCAGCGGCTGGGAGACAAAACTGGCAGTCCAATGATTGCCTTTTTTCTACCATAGTTTACTTCCTCTTTAAGACTTATGCCATCTCACTTTTCATTAAGGTAAAGCATAGACCCATGGTAATTGTCAAATTGTGGTAACTCAATGGGGTTGATTTACTAAAGGCAAATAGGCTGCTCACTTTGCAAAGGAATTTGCACTTAGCAGGGGAAGTCTGCCTTTAGTTTAGTGAATGAGGGGAAGTTGTGCTGACTTCCATAACCCAATCATGTCCAAGAAAAAATGATGTTTTTTTTTTTCCTTGTGCATGATTGGGTATTCTTTACACCAGTGCTCCCCAACCTTTTTATCGCCGCGGACCGGTCAACGTTTGATAATGTTACCGCGGCCCGCTGAGGGGATGTTGATTGTTTATATTTTAGACTGGAATCACCTGTCCCGATTAAATCCATATTTCAAGTAGGACTCATGGTATTGTCTTTTAAAAGTTACATGTTTCTTTGATGTTGACGGCCCTTCTTCTGTCTCTTCACTGGGCCTTTTCTTTTTCCCAAGGAAACTTTCTAACGACGTCTGTTTCGTACTAATTTTTGCTAATTTGTGGGTTAAATTTGAGCAAACACAATATACACGTACACCAAGCACTGTTAAACATGAGAAAGTACCGGTGAACAGAGAGAAGACCTATACACACCTTCTCTTTACCAAAGCTACAACGCCACTGCCGCTTGCAGCCGCTCAGCTCCAGACGTCGCCTAAAACCACCCCGATATCACGATATTTTGCACATGCGCGGTATTGGTGCGGCTTTAGGTGACGTCTCTCAGCTCCCGGTTAACCTCTCGTCCTGCAAAGTCAGACAAACCCAAGAGAAATACACCACAGTAAATAAAATGGAAATAATGTAATGTTCCTTGGGCGGCCCGGTACCATTTGATCCACGGACCAGTACCGGTCCGCGGACCCGGGGGTTGGGGACCACTGCTTTACACCACATCCACTAAGGGAAACTTCCACTACAAAATGAGCAGCCTATATGCCTTTGGTAAGTCAACCTCATAGTGTCCAATCAGAACTTTAAAGTCATGCGCATACAGCATATAAGCTGTTACAGGTTGTTCTAGAATGATTGCACTTTGCATTTTACCAGAACTCTTTGAACTCTCTAACAGAATAAGTCTGTTATTATTTACTTCTTCATAAAAAGCAACATTTTAGCATTTTTAAATGGGCATGACATATTCATTAAGTGCCTGGAAAACATAAGGAAAAGGGATAGGGAATTAATTCTGTACACAGTTGGAATTGTTCTACTGCACTGCTTTAAATAATCAAATGCGGTGGAAAAGAATTTAATTAAACAAAATGAAAGTGTGTCTCAGTGGAAGCAGACTGGGCTGAACCCGTTTACAAGAATGCATCAGGAAATAGCTCAGCATGCAAAGTGTAGGTCTACCCTGTGTAAGGGCAACTTATTATCTTCAGCCACTTACGGGGGAATATTATAAGATTATAAAGTGGAAGACGAATTGTTGTGCAGCGTACCTGAAATATAGGCCTGGGGGTGTCAGTGAAAGAAGCCATTCCCCTGTCAGTGAGGATGTAGAGCTTCATGTCCCTGATCAGAACAACATCATTGCTCTCCATCAGGCCTCGCTCCACACGCACCGCACTACCTTTACACTTTGACTTCACAATATTCCACACGGTGATCACTCCAGGTCTCACACTCCTGCAGACCACGTATCTAAGCAGACAAAAGAACAATACATTTACAGAGCAAATTTTATATCAAAGCCTTATGTCACAATATGCACACTAAGGCTAGGTTCACACCGCAGCGACACCCGGGACACGAGCGGTTGCCTCATTGATTTCAATGGGGTGACATCGGCGCGGTAATCGTGTAGAAAAGGTTCAAGTATCTTTTTTGCGAAACATGATGTGTTCGATTGCACGGGCGGAATCTGGGCGGGAAACTTCGCGCTCCACCCGGCACGACTGGGGTGCCATTAGAAAATTATGGCACCCACAGCACGATCGGCTGCGGTGGGCGACCCCATGACCGCGCAGCAATCCACACGGTTTTGTGCACGATTGCCGTGCGGTCAGGAGTTACCCAGGTGTGAACCTAGCCTAATTGAAACTTGAAAATGTATGTTTTTATTTTTCATATGAGGCTGTAACACAAAATGTGTGCGTTATCACAGACACAATGTATGAACATAGGCTTATCCAATAAGACACCACATATTGTAGTAACCAATAGCAATTAGTTACATTTAAGGTTATTATGGTAGACATTTTTGATTGGTTGCTGTGGGTTCACTGCACTTACAGTGGAACTCCAAACAATACTTTTTAGCTTTGGATGGTGTGATTATTGCTGTCTACAATTTCCCATCACTTTCTATCTGGCTGACAGAACAATTTTGATTGTGACTCAGACAGCAATGAAAAACACCTTTTTTTCTGCATAGTGGAAAAGGGTTTAAAAATGTGTTATTGTTTTATAGCTGTATTGATCCCCGTATGGCAGACTTTCCCTCACTTCTTGACTAAAGGATAAGTGTTTCCAAGACAGGAAGTAAGGGGATATTGCCCTGACAGGGACACAAAGAGCTATAAAAGCTTGATAGAGCTACTAACCCTTCCCCACTTTATTAAAAAAAAATGGCTGGAGCTTATTTAACACATTCTCATAACTCTTCTAAATGTTTGCTTCAATTAGCTTAATTTTCTTGTATACACTTTTTCTAGTCAAATACTACAACAACTATTACTACTACTAGTAGTAGCAGTGCTAATATTATTAAGAACAACAACAGATTATTATGATTATTATTATTATTATTGTTATTATTGTGTTGCTTATATATGACTGGATTGTAGTATGAAGACTACAAAGTTGTGCAAACAGTATCTTCAGTTAGGCTGGATTTACACCTAGGCAACACCTATTACGTGCATCTTTTTTTTTTTGCGTGTATAGTAAGTCGCGCATTTTTTGTGAGCAGATTTCTGTATATTTATGTGAATGGGCAAAACGCGTGCAAAAAACACGCAAAAATATCGCACTGCGTGTTTTTTAAGCGTTTTCAATTCAGTCGATGGGGAAAAATGAAATGTGCTCCAAAGTAGTTCATGTACAATTTCGAGCGACAGGCACCAAATACTGGGAAATTCTGATAGCCAAAGAGCTTCCTGGTCACAATTTCTGCCTGTTACTGTTAGTAACTATGGTCATTCATCAGAGGCACTGTCCAAAAATAAGTCTCAGAAGGCTGGAGGAAGACCATGTGTAGTTCTGCCCCAGTATTTGTGACCAGCAGAAATCTAACTGGGTGTGCTCTTCTCTATGTAGTAAGTAGCAGAATTATATATATAACATTGCTACAGTTTTACTTTAAACTGCAATCTTATGAGAATAATCTTACAGAAAATAGTAAAACCAATCTATGAATAATCTCCTAAACCCAAGATTCTTTGCCTGACTCATTACAGTCAATAAACAGTTAGTGGTTAAAAGTTTCCAACACTATACACTATACCACAGATTAAATGATTGAATGGGGTTTCTGCCTTCTGTTCTTTCCAGACTTAAAGCCACAGCATATACTATCCTGCATTTTAATAGGAATACTTTCTGTAGATGCTTTTGATAATGCAATCAAAGCTTACTTTAAAAAAATCAATTTTTTTATGTAGTGAGTGTTGCTTTCTGTCTGCCCATCACTTTCAACAACTTCCTGGATTCCCAGTGGGCTTTGCATCTCTTTTCCTGCTGCCTGATGTGATGCAATCTTGATTTCTCAAGGCTACATATCCCATCATGCATTGCTTCCAGCAAGCAATGATAACATTACATTGTTCAGACACTAAGGGGGTTATTCACAAAGCTGCCGAAGGCAGCCGAGTGAACAACCCAGCCGAAGTGAAGTGAGCCAAACGACGTTTGGCCATTCACTCCGGCTCAGTGCGGCTGATTTCAGCCATACATCGGCTGCCTTCAGTCAGCCGAAACATGCTCTGCGGCATACGGCTCGGCTATTGTACTCGGTACCTCCGAGGTAGCGAGGTGAATAGAAAATTCTGAAGGCAGGAATGGTACCAAAGAAAGAGCGTTTTTTCACACCTTGGCTTGTTTTTTATTGTTATTGGTGTAATTGACGGCATCCATGTGTCTTTTTTTATACTGGGAATGAACAAAAAAAGGTGAACAAATAACACCAAAAATATGTGATAAATACTGCATGTTTTAAAGAAATATCTCATTCAGTAAATAACATTGACCTGCGGGCTGAACAAAGAAAATATTACTGATTCCTCCATTAACGCATATAAGCGCTGATCAAAGAATCTCCCGCTGTCTTCATTGTATTCTGACAGCAGCTTCCGGCTGCTCTCAGAATCCCCGACCAGAGTCAGCAGCAGCTGAGTGGCTGCCCACTCTGTTCATTTGAAGATTTTCTGACTGGCTCCTTTGATCAGCTGTTTGTGGGATACCGGCCGAAATAGTGCCGACAACGGCACCCACTGTGCGAATTTTGGCGGGTTCATCAAGAACCGACCGATATTCAAATAGTGTATGGCCAGCTTTAGTGAATTGGTCCTTGTAAGTGTAGTCACCCACCTGGGAAAGTTCTTCATGGTAACAAACTCTTGAATCCCATCATTTTTTTTATTCCTGTTAACGTTTACAGTCAGTGACTGGTCATTTAAACGATTTGCTAGGTTCCAAGACTTTAAGAAGTTCTCTCCATCACAGAAAGCTAGACAGTAGCGAAGATCAGAACATATTCCTATAACAATAAAACAGATATGGCACATTAAAGGACTTTATGGTCTAATTTATTCAAAAGAACACAATATACTATATAAATAATATACTATTTTAATTTAATATAAATACAAACCAAATTTGATAGTGCTATTGCACAGTCCAAACAATCCTTGCATTCCCTGGACTCTATACTAGAACTACCATTTTTAAATATAAAATAACTGCTTATAAAGAGCAAACTCCCTTGCTATGTGTTTCCCTCACTGCCTCTGAAATCTAGTGAGAGTTTAGACACATGGACTGGAATTTATCAAACTGGAGCAGACAGAGAGAAGCTGATTGATTATAATGAACAACTGCTCCAGATTCTGTCTGCTCCGGTTTTGGTCAGTTTCCCTCAGAATATAGAAACTCTCAGTAATGGAATTATAGGTTATAGATATAAATCACCAGCACTCAATGATATCATCAAACAAGTCTATTTTATTGGACATAAACGTCACAGTAACAACAAGCCAACTTTTCGGAACCACACAGGGTCCCTTCCTCAGGGCAGAAAAATGTGACAACAAAGGAGCATATGGAACCCACACATATACTCCCCATGAGGTTTATCAATTAACAGTGCAACACCTCCAGTGACGTCATTATGGTGGGAAAACCGCCATGTTTTAATAAACCAAAAAAACGTTAATAGAGCAGTATACCAGATGGTCATAATAGTCATAGTATGTCATACCTAGTGATGCGATGGTTCCCGCTAGGGTCAGGGATGCAGTGTGGACTGCCAGAGCTCCTAACGTTTTTTTTTGGTTAATTGATAAACCTCATGGGGAGTATATATGTGGGTTCCATATGCTCCTTTGTTGTCACGTTTTTCTGCCCTGAGGAAGGGACCCTGTGTGGTTCCGAAATGTTGGCTTGTTGTTACTGTGACGTTTATGTCCAATTAAATGGACTTGTTTGATGATATCATTGAGTGCTGGTGATTTATATCTATACTCTGTGTCTGCTGCGCGCCATCCGTCATTGTCACTGCGAGCACCACATTCTATATAGACCTGGACTGCTGTAAGGTGTGCGGAAGGCTTCTCCATCCACCCATTGCAATGAGGTTTAACAAAGAGTGAAAAAAGGCGTAAAACATTTTATTAAAAAAAGGCAATTTATGATACACAGTGCTCTGGAAAAAATTCAATAACATCCAGTCAGAGCCAATACCGTTTTTTTTTTACAGTTTTTCCCTCTCTCTCATTGACACTCACGTCACATAGCACAATCCTAAACTTCAGCCATTGCCCTGGAGAGCTTTACCATGCAACCCTGCCCAGTGCTATTCAGCCTTTTATCACAAAATGTCCTGGCTGTGTCTGGTGCCTACTACTTTCCCTGTTCATTCTTATGGCTGGTGCCATACTTATGGTAGACCAGCCATCCAAAGGAGTATAGCTCCTAGGAACAAATGGCAGTTATACATGATAAGGCCTTTAGTGGGTCTCCTTGCAAAAGACCAATTTGTTAAACATAATATTAATTTTAAGGGAACGCCACTAACCTCCTGTAGGCACAGAAGAAAACTTAACCATGTGTTTGTGGTCTTCAGTCTCCAAATTCCAGACCACTATCTCTGTGGTGTTGGTATTAGGCAGGCCAGAAAAAGCAATCACATGAGATCCTTGACGGTTCACTGCAAACATGGTGATGAAGTCATTCGCACAGCCTTTCACAGTGCGAATATATGCAAATGTCTTCACGCTGAACAGCTCAATGTGCACTATGTCATGTGACTTCAGTGATGGATATCTGCAACATATTCCAGAATGAGGTTTTTAAAAATAAAGATAAGGAAAACTGGTCAACATTTCATTTACCATAACATAGAACTCATGCATACAAGTGTTCTTCTTTTTGTTGTCCTTTGAAACAAATGAATTGTGAAGTAATTACTTCAAGTTTAAGCTCATTATGAGTGAAACATGGAAGCCGGCAACTGAGACAAGTTAGTAAACTAGCATTGTACCCGCCCTCTGTTGCAGTTCCCCATCAGGTCCATCAGCAGAGGGCGGGTACAATGCTGACATCGCTCGTGTCAGAATAAAGAAAAAAAGACACATCAGTGTTTCTCTCCTGGGCGGCCGGGAGCGGGAGGCTCCCAGAGCGCCCGGGAGAGTTTTTTTTCCCTGTTTTTTTTTACAACAGCAGAGCCGTTCAATATGTCTATTTTTTTATAACCCAATAAGGGTTCAATATGTCTATTTTTTTATTGAATGTGGAAGGTATAAACTTGTTTAGGTGACAACTGTGTGAAAGGGCTATTTCCCCAATTTGGAGAGATCACCTATTGCTTGCTGCTGTGTCCCTGAGACAGGAATTAGAGGGATGGGAAATCTTCCAATAGGTAAGCCTGTTCTGCTGACACCAGTCTAAAAGGGGATATTTCATTGTTTTGGAGGATCCTCTCTTACTTCCTGGTGAGTCTCTGTGAAAGTGAAAGGATGGGACACAAACAGGGGTCTTAAAGGAGAACTATGGGGTTAGGGCTTTTCCCCATAGTTCTGCTTAGGGTAATGGGAGGACACAAACTAGCGTCCTCCCATCACCCTAAGCTCAGTAAACCGCAAGCTACAGCTCGCGGTATACTGAGACGCCGCAGCTGAAGCGGATCCCGACAATTATGTCTGGATCTGCCCAGCTGCGTGAGTGACAGCTGGCTCTGCCTATCCAGAGGCAGAGCCAGCTGTACCCGCCCCCGTCCGTTCCGCCAGTCAGCACTGGAGGATCGGAGCGGGGAGGGGGGAATCCAGTCCCTCCCCTGCCACGCCAGAGAGCCGTGACAGGATCGAGAAGTGAACGAACGCTGCTATGTGTTCGCTCACTGCCCGATCTACTGAGCCGACCTGTGACAGTTTCATCGTCACAGGTCGGCTAGAACTATGAGGTGAGTGAAAAGCACTCACCTCATAGTTCTCCTTTAACTGTTCCTTATCCAAAACAAACAAGTTTTAGCTTTACACAGACTTTAATGAGCAAATTTATGGAAGATTAGATTGTGTGCACCCAAGCATAACTCATGTTAGGGAGCCCATTCAAAAACTGTCTTCTTTAAAGCAGAACTCCAGGCAATTGAAATCTTAACCCTTGCAGTGGGCCTCGTGTTGTCTGGGACGCTACAATAATAAAGTTATACTCACCTGAACCCACAATCCTGGCTGGCTCCTAGACCAGACCATTCAGCCTTGCTCCCCCTCCGCTTCAGCAGTCAAAGGTCCTGCATAACTTTTTTTTTTTTTTAGTTCCATAGACAAAATGAGCACTTGAACCCTGCAGTGTGGGGGTAGCCCCACTGCAAGTGTTAAGAATGTATTTGCCTGGAGTTCTGCTTCAAAGGAGTTATGAAGGCAAAGGATAAGCAGATTACCAAGAGATAAGTGTTTCATTTTTTAGAGCCTGTCCTGACAAGCACTAAGCTCATATTCAGCTACCAGCAATCCAGTATATCACAATGACAGTGAAGAGAGGGAGGAGACTACTGGAAGACTATGACTTGCATCTAAATGGGCGTATGCTTTTAAATGAAACTTCTCATTTAACAGAAGCATACATTCAACACAATTGATAAGCTGTTGAAGTCCGTATAGCATCAACAAAGATCCCACCAGAGGGCACATAGAATTATGTGTGCACAGAACTTGCTGAAAATTTTCTTGGCCTGAAAAGTGAAAACTAGTGCAGCCACCAAATCTAAAAATTGGTAAGCCGCAATATATTACATTTTTGTTTTGGGGTTTTGATACACTTGCAACTAACTATTAATGTTTATTTAAATAAATGGATCAATTCAGATGGTCAATAAATTATTCTTTTTTCAAATAATTGGGGTACACACTACATAATATAGCAAATACTTCAGTTTTTTCATTTCTATATTAAATAATATAGAAATATATTATTATTATATATAATATATATATTAAACTTACTGATAGGTGTATCATGTCACAATATTTAAGCTTTAGGCTAGGTTCACACAAAACTGCGTTTCACGGAGTCGCCCACCACAGCCGATCACGCTGGAGGTGCCATTATTTTCTATAAAAGACGCGTGCCATGTGTTGCAAAAAAGGTACTTTTTTTTAGTGATTGCCACGCTGACATAACCACTTTGAATTCAATGAGGCCACGCGGCAACCGCTGTGTGCACTAGCGCACAATTGCGCAGTCCCAGGACGCACATCCTGGATGTCGCTTAGGTCTGCACCTAGCCTTATGGAACGCCTACTGCAAAGAGAGATGTTGTGCAGTAATCCAGTACAACCCGTGAGAAATCAGCTGTAATGACTGGATTAGGGTGCCATGAAACTGGTAAATGACGGTTTCTGATCTATTACAGCACTTAGTTGCTCTTTACAAAGAATTCTCACATAAGCCCGTGTAGTGTTTTTTATCTTCAGACAGTGATAGATAGCATAATGTCAGTAGGCCTCATTGATCACTGTATACCTGCAGATGACTAGGAAATACTCCTTGGTTACAGCCACACCCTGAACTGAAGCCACTGGGTCTTGCGCAGTGAGTTTGGCAACAACAGCCCCTCGTCTGGCACTCAGCACCATGGCTTCCTTCCCACTCCTGTCACAAAAAAAGAAAAAACAAAGCATAATGTCTCCATTGCACATTCTTCTCTGCATAGTCATGTTGCACATGTTTGTTTTAAACTTATCTTTTACATTCACCAGTCCTTTTTCCAACTAAATTAGGAATTTAATAAATACTATATATTGAGAAATATTTTAAAGTACCACAGAGGTATTTCCCATTTTATACCATATATTGTTATAAATAGAACTATGAAATGAGTATTGCCACTGAGCAGCAAAACTACGTTCTATGGCACTTTCAGCATCAGGTACAAAATATTAAAGAGGTAGAGTATTTCCGCTCTGTGTCAACTGATGAGTCTCACTTTCCTTCTAAGGCAGTGTGGGGTAATGAAAACAAGAATTTGGTTGGCTCTCATTGGCAGTAAGACTGGCTCTTCCTTTAGATATTTTAATGTGGTCTACAGCTAATTTATCAAAAAACATGCACAGTATAACAACTTGGTCAAAGTGCAGTTACCCGTAGTAATCAATGAGGCTTCAGTTTGCCGTGTTTAAAACAAAGATTATTTCTGATGAGTGCAATGGGTTACTTGATAGGTTTCTGAACTGCAGTTAGGGCAGAGTTCAAAAATATAAAGGTAAACCATAGTACTTACGCAATATTAGTCTATTACAAATTTGCATTTGCAAAATCATACAAAACCAACTCTGAAAATAATGCAAAGAAATTAAATTGCTGGAATCAACATATATAAAATACCATTTGACTTCCTACAAAGTGTGCATATATGGCAATTTACTTTCTGACCAATGGTTCACTTTACTTTGTTTTTCACATCCTAACTTATATGTTACTGAAATGGTTGCTTCAGCTTTTCACCGTGTAAGCACTCTCCATTTACCTGTAGGCGAACACAATGTAGTCTTTCACAGAATTTTTAGAGACCAGTATGGAGTGATTTTTATGAACAGGGGTCTCATCTGCAGGAATGTCCACCTGACAGATCAGCTTGCAGGAGTCTGCCAAGTCAAATACCTAAAATATACAAAGCCTTATATTATTACAAGTACATGCTTAAGTTTGGAACCCGTTTTCATTAAGCTGTTATCATCAAAGATATATATTTGTATCTTAAGGGTAAAATAACACTATGATATATTCAATATATACATTTAAATAGCGTGCACCCTGTTTTTTTACTCAACTGTTTGATTGACTTTCTAATTTTAATTTGACCACTATGATTAATAATGTATTATCAGGTATGTCATGTGTAACGGGGCAGGATTAATGCATTGCCAACTTAGCCAATAACCTTTAGTGGGAGGGGTACATAGGCATCCACGCATGTTGCTGCCTGTCAACTACACATTCCCATGTATAATAAAAGGTGCCATGCTGCTAGGTACCAGGAAGAATTCCATCTGTAATCTCATTGTTGTTGCCCCTGAAAAGTTTGTTGCTGGAATATTGGAATTTCATTTCACCCACTTTGGGTCTTTACAACTAGAAGTGAACTGCTGGGAGGGAATATTGACAGTTTGCTCTACTCCCCAGGTCATTAGTTCTAGTGGAAATTATGCATAGTAGCCAAATGGCATCAACCTTGCACCCTTAACCTTAGTGTGCCTTGTGTGGCTATAATGTCTTGTTAGTGTGATACTAAGTATAGCCAGTTGCCTGGGGAAGAAGAGGCAAGGCAGCTGTCCTGGGGGGCATTATGTTTAAATGTTTTTCTGTGTATCAGGGTCACTTCACAAAGATTAGACGTATCTGCTTGTTGTGGTGCTGCATACATAGCTCCCAACTGTCCCTCATTTAGAGGAACTGTCCCTCATTTCTAGCCAAATCCTCATGTCCCTTCTCAGTTGTCCCTCTTTTTGGTCTGATGAATAACCTCTATAAAAAAAATATTTAACTACCAGAAGTCTTCATGGCACTAAACATCTCATTCCACCTCTAAATGATTACATGTGTTATTTTGAAAATCCAGTATAAAGGAAAAGTAGTGGTGAAAATACAAGTGAGTTAAACCAGTCATCTTGAGTGTATTAATTTTGGGAGTGTGGCAGGACTCTGTCCTTTTTCTACATAATTTGTGCCAAACAGTTTCCTTCATTCTCATCTAAGAATGTTGGGAGGTATGCTTCATAAGCTGCTGCCAGTGATTTTGACACATGAACAGTGTGGCACAGACAATGAGATCAGTTTCACACCTTTACCTTGTGGTAACATGCAGCACAGTGGTACTCCGGTTTTCATCCCACACTCCAAAAACATGATGAAAAGTAAATTGGCCCTGTATGTATGCATGTGAGATAGGGACCTTAGATTGTAAGCTCCTTGAGGGCAGGCACTTATATGAATGTGCACTATGTAAAGCGCTGCGTAAAATTGACGGCGCTATATAAATACCAATAATAAAAAATAATGCATGTGACACTAGGCTGTCATTTCAGGGCAACACAATGCACAGATGATCTCTCTGTGTGTTGTGATGGAGCACGTTGTAAAGAAAAAATATCATTTTTTGCCTTTGTTCCCATTTAAAAGAAAGCAACCCTGTTGAAACATTGGACAACTAACCTTAACCAGATGGCTTCCATCAAAAAATGCCAGGAGGAGCTGCCCATCCATGGCAGTGGTGAGAATAGGAGCATCCAAACAATCATGGAGTGCATAGACTAATTTTTGCTGGCACATGTCCCATACTTGGAGGTTGTGGTCCTCAGTAACCGCAACTATATTATTCTGCATGCCCACAGTGATAGAGTTAATTTTCTTCCCAACTCCATGAAGAGTGAAAACTGCTTTGCCAGCCTCTAAGTCCCAGACTTTCAAAGTTCCATCTCTGGATGCTGTAATTGCCCGGAGACCAGTCTGAGCTTCAGCAACTGCAGTGATGCTGCCTATGTGGCCTGTACAAACATAAAATGACCAAATACATAAGGACCGCAAAAGGGCTTCTTAAACTCACACGTTAAAGTGGACCTATTATCAGAAACATTGTGGAATGTAGCTACTGATAAATGTAGAAGGTTTGGATGTGGCAAAGTACCACAGCTGGCAAAAAAGCTAACCTTGTAAAATATCAAAATATTATAATTTAACACCAACCATATGAATAAATAATTATATATTATTGCAAACTAACCTGACAACTAGTCACAGTCCAGGCCTGTGTTAGGATCAAGGGTCTGGTATGGAATTTTAGGGGGAACCCTACGTTTTTTCCTCCCAATTTTTGGGGGTGTGGTTCCTCCTTAAACTTCCTACCAGACCTTAACTGCCTGGTATGACTTTAAGGGGGAACCCCACCCCCAAAAATGGGGAGGAAAAAACGTAGCGTCCCCCCTAAAATTCCATACCAGACCCCTGATTAAAGGTTAATCAAGGGTCCCTTAATCCCTTGATTAAAACCAGACCCTTGATTAAAGGTTAATCAAGGGACCCTTAAAGGTGGGGTTCCTCCTTTAACTTCCTACCAGACCTTAAGGGCCTGATATGACTTTTGGCGGGAACCCCACGCTTTTTTAAAAAAAATTAGGTCCCTGCTAACATTCCTACCAGACCTAAAGGTCTGGTATTGTTTGGGAGGGGGTAACGCACGCTTAATAAAAAGAAGTCATTTTTTTTCTTTAGAAATGTCAGTTTTGCTGCATCAGGTTCTATACATCCTACAGATCCGCCACTTCACAGGCAGGTTGAGGGGCACAATATTTAAAGGAAATTGTCATTTTTATTGTTACCCTTTAAGTGATGTTAAAATCACTGCTCCTTTATAAACGGTATTTTGTAAAAGTTTTTTATTCATTGATTCATGTCCCCCAGGGCAGTGCCTGGATTCCCATGCTCTTTTTTTTTTTTTTTTTAAACCTTTGACATCCGCGT